ATTAGCACCCTTCAACAGCCACCGCCATTATTTCGGCATGTGCAGTGCTCCACAACATCTGCCTTGCATCGAGCGAGCCAGAACCGGAATCAGACTCCGACCCTGAAGAGTCAGAGTTGGAGTCTGAGCCGAGCTCGGACGGTTCTGAGCCGAGCTCGGAGAGGTCAGTGTCGGCTCCCGAGAGGCTGGCTCCTGCCGGCCCTCCGGTCGGCCTTCCGGTCGGCCTCTCGGACAGGGGGAAGGCTCTGAGGCAGCGCCTTGTCGCCCGGTTCGGAACCCGCCGCAGACGTGCCCGTGCGGAGCGCCACACGCAAGGGGTCCGCCGCCACGACGGTAGTCCCGACCACCAGGGACACCGTCGGGAAGCCCCTCAGCGCCCTCGCTGCGGTGGTGCCCAGCACGGACGCCGCCAGCAACAGGGAACCTCTCGCCACCACGACTGAGGTCCTGACCACCAAGGACCCCGTCACATGCTTGCCCTCAGTGAAGCCCTCCCCGTAAAAGCCGTAAAGTGCACACTTCGCTTCCTGCTCCACAGTCATGGCCGTTCGCAAGCTACATACTCTCTTCAGCCCCTACACCTTGTGAAGTTCGTCGCACAGCCAGCGTGCTGCCTCGGGATACGTGTCGAGTGCATCGCGGTGAAATCGATACAGCCTTTTTTATTTTTATGAGCAGAAGGCACGAGACGCAGTCGACAGTGACAGAAAAGGTTCGGAGGTTTAGTTGCCAGACCAACAGGTCATCTGGATTGCCCCTGCAAAGAACTCAGAAGTAATTTAGACTACCTCTAAGAAGAAATGCTTGCTTTTGCAGAGATTGCTTTCCTAGTTGCTGATTGAACCAGGGATATTGTTGTCATGGACATTGTTTCATTTTACAAATGCTTCAAAGCGTCTTGCCTTCTGCTCCATTTTATTATCTCTTTTATGGTACTTCATCAAAGTTAGGTGATTGTGTTATCTCAACACAGTGCACATGTAGTTTGTTTTGAAAATTGCTTTATTTCTTAAAGAAAAACCTGTGACTTCATGAATAAAAGTGTGATAACATGGAATGTAATATTTCATTCTTAGAAGTAAAACTGAGCATCGACTGGAAGCATGTAAGCAATTGGGCAATCTTAAGTATATATCACAGATATATCTTGTTGAACACTCTGGTCTTATTTGAGCACAATAGTTAAATTTCGAAAGGAAAAAAAAATATATATATTTACTGACTAGCATACCACCATATAACCACTGGACCACTTTGAAAGAATTATCACAGATGCTGCGCCAAACATTCTTATTTGAGCACAGCAATAGCAAGTTCTCGAAAGATAAAAAAAATGTTTCTGACTAAAGCAGCCGTCACTCGCGCGCTCCCCGTTGGTTCCGCAGACGCCTCCGCTGCCCCCGGCACACCCGGCTCCTCGTGGTTCGACATTTTGGTTTGAAGAAGGCGCGTAGCGCACATCCCGCATAATATTGGAACAACTTTCTCTCCAATTAATTCTTAAATGTATTGCAAAAGGGTACAAAAAAGCGGTTTGTTTTAACAACGCCCAAAAGGTTTTGATTGTTTTTCAATACTTTTACCTGTGCTAGAACAGATGCGACGGCCAGCGACGCACAGGATTGGTTGCCGTTCCTTCGCTAAACGCAGGAACTGCTCCCCGCGTCGTAGTAAATCCTACCCCGTATCCCGCGCGTAGGGACGCCTCAGGGAATGCGTAGCTACTTCCGCTCGTCGGTGGTTGGCTCCGGACGTCGCTGAAACGGGTGACGGGTGTCAAGTTTGCGATGACGTAGCGGCGTCAAAGTGGGCAGAGCCGCCACGTGAGTGTTGCTAGGATACGCTCCTCTTTTGCATTACGTCACTTCCATGTACCTTTTCTCAAATGTCCAACCTAGCGATCCAGATGACCAGACACGGTTGTGGAGACATTTTAAGCGTGCTCTCTTAACCTGTCATTGAGACAGCGGCCCGCCTGGCGTACTACGTAGCGCTTGACACACGTCAGAGGGAGAGAATAAACCACCCCTTCAGAACACGAGAAGAAGCGATCTCGGTGCCTCGTACTGCAAGCCGTGGCCGCCCTCCAAGAGGGGTTAACAACTCTGCACAACCTTGAAAGCTTGTCCAAAGTTGCGAAGGTCTTCCGGTATGTAAATGATTTTCTACTTTTGTTAGGTGCCGATGGCTTATCCTTCTTTCATCAATCACTAAAGTTTTAGGAATTTTTAGTCTTTGCCTTTTGCCATTTATTCTGACTCATAAGGTGCCTGAGGCAGGATGTATCCGATTCTTGTATTTGAATTTAACTATTTGTCCAGGCCATGTTTATTGGAGCTATGAACCCCGTGCTAGAAAACCCCCGTTGCCTATTCGAGTCCGCTCACTTAAAAATTGTCAAGCGGGCGATTGCGAGGACTTGCTATACACATATGCGCTGCGTAGGTCTTGTTATCATAAAATTAAACATAGCTTTGACAGGCAAACTGAACGCCTCGCAGATGCTGGTTTTCCCTCCCACGTGTTAACGATGGTCACCGAGTCTTTGCTGAAAACTATGGAGATCAAGCCTATGACAAGTGAAGACGACGTCAACCACAGAAAAAGAAGGGAAAGAAGAAAGTCTGTAGTCATTCCCTACATACACGGCTTGGCCCACAACGTAAAACGCATTACGGGCAGGTGTGACTTCGACATTTTATTATCTGCTCCGGACAAATTTTCAAGGTTGCGCAGAGTTGTTAACCCCTCTTGGAGGGCGGCCACAGCTTGCAGTACGAGGCACCGAGATCGCTTCGTCTCGTGTTCTGAGGGGGTGGTTTATTTTCTCCCTCTGACATGTGTCAAGCGCTACGTACGCCAGACGGGCCGCTGTCTCAATGACAGTTTAAGAGAGCACGCTTATACCCCTGTTACACGGGCACAGTTAACCGCGGTTAACTCAGCTTAACTGCTGTTACGCGGCACCACTGATACCGCACTATACACTCGGACAGCTATTCCATAAGAAGTGAAGAGCGCACGCGCACTGCTTTGATGGGTGCTCAAGATGCTCAAGCGCACGTTCGCCCATAGCTCTGACTGCATCGCCGCAGAATGTTGTCGGCAAGTATTGTGCGCTAATTGTGGTTTAGCGTAACTGCAGTTAAGTGTGCCCGTGTAACAAGGGTATTACACTGTCTCCAGAACCGTGTCTGGTCATCTGGGCATTCATTGCCGCGAGATTAGTTGCCTACCCGACTTCCAACGGCGTGAGGTTGTTAAGCGTCATAGGGACCAGCTTACTCGTGAAATTCTGGAGGCTCTTGGGATAGCGAGGCTGGGCGCAGCATGTGTAAGCAGTCCTTCTGCGGCCCTATCAGGCAAAGAGATAAATTTTCTAATTCCGTGACTTGCTCGTTTTTTTAAGAATTGCTCTGTACGGCTGTGTCATGGCGCCTTTTTATTTTTTGTTGGCGTTGTTTCATCTGGGCTGAATTCTTTCTTCTCTTTTGTTCGTGACAACGCAAGTCTATATTGCGATTTTGCGATCAATAAACTCAGTTGTAAGTCAGCGCTGCGTCCGTGTTACCTCTTTGCCTGGTCCACGTCTTTTCGTGCTGTTTTTAATTAAGAACTGGCTCTTCGCGTGCGAGACAGGCACAATAAACGTTAGGCCACGCGCGCGCTGCCTACTTGGCCAGCTGCGCGCGTGGCTTAACGGTTATTGTGCCTGTCTCCCACACGAAAAGCCATTTCTTAATTAAAAACAGCACGAAAAGACGCGGACCAGGCAAAGAGGTAACACGGACGCAGCGCTCCGTCGCGGGGCAATATGTTCATGTACAAATGAACGTTCACACACAACTAAATAGGGCGACCGGTGACCGAGATGAGGTAGCCCACCTCAGCTCTGGGAGCACGTGCAGCAAAAACTCGTGCTGCAGAAACCATGGATCCTAGGTTCAATTCGCACCCATGTCTGTTTCGATTTATATAAGCATCGTACCGACGTGCAATGGTGTATCAATACTGTGTGGTACACATCAGAGACCCCAAGCAAGCCTTTCTACCGCACGGACTAAATTACTCATCTAGAGCTGAGACACCGGACACCCATTAAGTATGACTAACTTCCGGCTGTATGAACACATACAACTTAGTTACTACTACTTCTATAAAATATAATGTGCTCACATGTTATGACCTACGTAATGGATCGCGGAAACTTGCATGCGACAGGAGTTAAGAATGCGGACCTTTCACGAAATGCATTCCGTTCTTGTGTGCGCGAATGTGTGCGCGCGTGTGCATTGGCCTATGCGTAACACTTGCGTTAGCCAGTCCTTCGATGTTTGCCTGACGGTATCAACACAAACATTAAAATTAGAGCAGGTATTGGGCAGGAGATCGAACTCTAGGGGATGCTTTATCAAGCTGGTTCTCCCCACAGCCCAATGTTTACTAACATAGCATAACAAAGCAATTGAACCTTCCCTAGCACGGTCTGGGTACGAGCGCACTGATCTGAGCAGTGCTATGGTCGCACGAGTAGCGGCCTTCGAATCGTCGTCTTCGATTTCTTTGATCGGAAACAAACAAGAAAACTCGGTTTATGACCCAGAGCTAAAGCGGTACGCTAGAGGCGTGACTATTCGATCTCCTTCCCAGCACGGATGAAAAACCAACGTTTGTTTCCACCCATAAAAAGATGAGGGAGCCCTGCTGCAATGGTGGATCTCTTGCGACGTGAGCCCAAGTTCGCCGTGCTGAAAGTGAACGCAATTCACTGAATATGGTGGTAAAAATGTAGCGACCACTTTGGTCGCGTGGTGCCGTCATGAAACGCTGAAGACGTTATGCTGACCCTCCACTTTTCGGATCCTGTATACTAGCAGGAATGAAGCACGAATCAACTTCTAAATATACTTTTTTATATGGGTGATCTTCACACAAGTCGTTTATTCGTTGTGTAGCATTATTTGTTGTATACATCGTCCAGTATACATGTCTTCCCCTCGCCAGCAAAAGAGAGGTATACTGAGCGAGTCTCAAATGCACCTTAAAATGAACTCCTTTGAGATGCTTCCAGTTGCATCAAAACACATACACTGAATGGGGAATCTGCTAATGATGGGAGGACTCCGATGACTCTAGGTGTTGTCGAAGGCATTTCTCGCGGCCGTTGTGAGCGCAAATTTTCCCCTGGCGCAGGTGTTGGGAATGTCGTCATGATGGACGTTGTAAATCAAAATACAAAATGTTGTGTGGGCTTTCAGTATGCTCCTCACCTAAAATTGAGGAAAAACGAGAAAGAATTTGTGCTGAACGAGCGAATAAATAACGCAGTTTTCTTAAGGTATTTTTGACACCACAAACTTATATTCTTATACAAACAAAAAATAGAAAATGCTTTCCAGACACTACATTTGAAATCTGAAAGCTCAAATTTGCATTATCGCACGAATTAATTTTGATTTCAGGTTTGAAGTATCTGTTCGCGTCAATGACGTATATGACTACATGGCGCAGTACTTTTTGTTAAATTCGTTATAGTCCTGGAAACGACAGTGTCGTAATCTTTCATTCTCGTGGATCACGCGCACGAGCTTGCTCATACATTTTGAGAAGCATTTAAGTTTTTATAGATGTATATGTTATCGTGATAGTGCGCACGTTTTCTGTGTTGCAGCTAGAAAACACCTGTGACCAAGGCACGGTGCAGAAACATTTAGGTGATGAGTCTGTGTCCGACGTGGCGACCACATTATGTTCGGCGCACCGAGCGCTTTACTCGCACGGGGATAGATGGCGCCAAGCATAGGATCCCTCTCAAACCGACCGCTCCAGTTGTTTCTCCCAGCGGTGGTCCCGAATTCTCTCGCTCAACACTTTTTGTTGTACCTCACCACCGCCACCAAGGTCGTCAGAGTCCGTAAATTTGTGTTCTCTCCCTTCTTCCTCTTCTTCTGGTTAAGGCTCGCCTTCGTGCACGATGGTGGCACCTGTGATCGACACAGCACCAAAGCAAAACACGAACCCGGCCACTGGCCGCACACCACCACCGCACCACCACACCGCAAGAAAGCCGAGCAGGCTACGCCACCAACACCTTGGCCGCCGAGGAGAGACCTCATACCTCAGCACCCTCCACGGCGGTGCGGAACAAACTACTCCTGGTTCGAGGCTAGCTCCGAACACGATCTGGTCGCTCGCTCCCCGAAAAAATGAGTGGCCTGAGTCATCACCTAAATGTGTCTCTTCCACCGTGGACGAAGGCAAGGTGGAAGAGAGAATGTAGCTGAGATCTGTTCGCGAGTTCAAAGGTGTTGCGTCGTTGGAGTCGCGCGAGGGGCTTTACGACGTGCAGATCCCTCTCCTGTTCGAGCACCTCGCTCGTTTCTTTACCCTCCAAACACGCATCCCTTAGTGAAGACTCTTGTTCAAATAGTTTCAGATGATTTATTCTATCCCGTCGTGTCGAGATACACCCTTCCGTCACCACGCCCGGATCTAACCTAGCCAAAAAAAACCTTTCCGGCTTATTTATAAGCCTGTTCCATCCGCTATCAACATCACCCTCGTGACCGCTTGAGCTCGCTTCCGATAACCACTGATAGCATACCTACCAGTCATGCACGCCTAAGCGTGGCATGACATGTCTATCCTTTATCTGAAACCCTTTTTTTTTACACATTATTAGGATAACAGAGGCCTACATACACAGCATGTAGTACACAAATCATGATACATAGTGGAAGGCACCCGAATGACGAGGAAAATAAACAGTAGTTACAAAAACAGAGTCACTTCACACTCTTTTTTTTCCAACAAATAGAATGCATATAGTAGAAGAGACCCGAATAACGGGTAAAATAAACGATAGTTACAAAAACCGCGTCACTTTGCACTTTGAACAACCCGACTGTTTCGACTCGCTACATCCCCAAAACGCTCAGGCCCGACCCAGTCGAGATAGGGCGTCTGCCGGCACATTTTTGGTCCCCTTCACATTTTCTATCTGTAGACTATACTTTTGCAAGGAAAATGCCCAGCGTGTTAATCGTCCGCTGTTTAAAGGCAATGTTCCTACGTACCGCAATGGATTGTGATCAGAGCGAACCAAAATTTCCGATCCGAACAACCAAGTTCCCAAATGTTCTAGTGCCCACACAATTGCAAATGTTTCACTCTCGATTGTTGACCACCTACTCTGTGTACCACTCAACTTTCGGCTCAAGAAGAAAACCGGCAGTTCTTTCCCGCCGTCGCTCTTCTGCGATAAGCACGCGGCGAAAGCTCTTTCCGACGCGTCTGTCGACAAAATAAACCTCCACGTCCAAGATGGGGCTGCAAGTTTCGGCAGTTCTATCAATTTCCTCTTCGCCGTTTCAAAGGCGTCTTGTTCTTTTTCACCCGATGGGAGTGCATTCGGTGCTTCCTTCCTCGTCAACACTGTCAGTGGAAGCACTATCTCTGAATACCCTTCAATATAATCTCGATAAAAGTTAATCAATCTTAAGAGACTCCTCAACTGTTTTTTGTTCTCTGGCAGTCTTAAGTTCTGAATCGCGGCAACCCTTTCTGGGTCTGGTGCGTAAAATCCAGAGCCTACTTCATGGCCTAGGTACTTTACTCTGCCTTGTTCGAACCGACATTTGTACAGGTTGATTGTAAGCCCGGAAGCTTCTAATGTCGCTAGCACCTTGCCAAGCGGTTCCACGTGTTCTTGCCAACTGCTAGACAAAACTGCGATGTCATCATAGTATGCGCAGGCATACATTGCATGAGGTCTTAACACCTCGTTCATTGTTCTTTGGAACGTCGCTGCTGAATTTTTAAGCCCATACGGCATTACAGTCCACGCGTACTGGCCTTGATCAATTACGAACGCGGTACAGTGCTGAGACTTTTTTCCATTCTGATTTGCCAGTACCCTCTGGTTAGGTTCAAGACCGAGATGAATTGGGCTTTTGCTACGCGCCACAAGAGTTCTTTTACATTTTGCATTGGAAAGACGTCCGTTTCAATTAGCGAGATTAATTGCGTATAATATATATACAACCTAACTTTCCCGTCCTTCTTGGCGACACATACAACCGGATGTGCAAAACTGGACTCTGTTGGATTGATCAGTCCCCAACCTATCAAATGTTGTATCTGACGATCCACTTTTTCTCGAAGTTTCATGGAGACCCGGTAGGCATAGATCCTTTTCATTGAAGCATTTTCAATCAGCGTTTTTTTGTGCCGTCCCATCGCGCTCCTTTCTGGCGTATTTGAAAATGCCGCTTTCCGTTCTTTTACCAAATTGAGTACCTGTTGCCTTTGTCCCTCACTCAAGTTCGTTAGCTGGATACCCGTCTGACATACCGTGCTACTTTGATTTTATTTTTCGTCACATGGGGTCTTTTCCACGCTCCCAAAGTCCCGATCTTCAACAATCACCGCCACAGCGTTTGTTCTAGCTTAGTAGGGACGCAACTTATTAGCATGTACCCACTTCCTCTGTCCTCCCTTTAGCTTAACAGCGTAGCTGTTGTCCCTCTTCCGTTCAACAATCGTTGTCGGACCCACACACCTGGCCTCCATTTTGCTTCTAGCTTCTGTGTTTAACATTGGCACCACTTCTCCTTTTTGAAATGGCTTCGGCACTGCCCTTGGGTTGTACTGTGTGGCATACGCCCGTTGCTGTCCCTGTGCCCGTTCGTCCGCTATTTTTCCTAGACTCATCATTTGCCTCCTCAGGTCCAGAAGATATTTTTCTGCGTCTTGATTTAACGTCACTGGGGGAGTCCATTCTCCCGTCCAGGATTTTTCAAGAATAGCCAGAGGACCACTAGGAACACGACCATACATTAACTCGAATGGCGACACCCCTGTCGTTTCGCTTGGTTTTTTCTCGGTATGCCCACAGCAGGCAGGGTACATACCTGTCCCATCCTCTCGTATGTTCAGCAATTACCTGTCTCAACATTCCCTTGAACGTTTGGTTCCATCGTTCTACCAAACCATTACACTCGTGACCGCTTGAGCTCGCTTCTGATAACCACTGATAGCACACCTACCAGTCATGCATGCCTAAGCGTGGCATGGCACCCTTTGCCTCAGGTGTGGACACTGCACGCGTCACAGCTGCAAGATAAAGGCCTTTCCTTGGTTGCAGGCGGCGACACCAGATGGCTCCTCAATATGCGGCAAATGTGAGCCTGTCGCCGTCCCGGTTTTGCACGCTTCTCCATGGGAAACATGCTTGAGTTTTTGTAAAGTTGTTTACGGAGTGCGCCACATTATGTAAAACTTGGCACTTGCACTACGCTTGTTGCTTAGATACTGTTTCGTCATTGACCCTAGCTTCGTGCCTCAACGGCGGAAGTAATTGTTGTATGAACGGATTGAAGCGCAGAGCTTCTGGCGCGGTGTTCAAGCCAGCGTTCGTCGCGGTCGAAGCGTCACAACGGACCGTTCCCAGTGCGTGTGTTTCAGTGGCAGGTCTCAAACACGTTTGAGCAAAGTGAAGCGGTAAACAAAATTTAGCACAACCTCGTCAGCAACTCGAAAGCGCGGGGCGCCGTTTGCGTTGCTCAAGGGGATATACGACAAGCAAGTTCGTCTGCTCCTTGCACATCGGGTGCGCTTCTGCACCCGCCAAATATGGCCGCGCGCTCTTGTTTCCCCTCGACCTCATCCAATTGACGGCGCACGCTTGACTGCCTCGTAATTGCACTTTTTCAGGGCGTTCTCTAAGTTGCCCTCTGATTGGCTATCCACACCTTGCGTTCCAACGCGCCAAAGAGGCATTTTGGAACGCTTGCTCATCGCGTTCTGGACAATACTGTTCGAATATCGTGTTACACGTACCTTCAAAAGATGAACCATAGCCTCCTTTATACTCACAAAGCCTGGCAGTTTGACGATGGAGTCATTAAGTGCCCGGTCGTAGATTTGTAGAGCGAAGATCAGGGAGCACAAAACATCAAAGAGCCATTTTTCGGGGAACCTGTACGTCAGCGCACAGTTTCTCCAGGAGCGAGGACCCGAAATACACTTGTTCGCTCGGGAGAAGTGTGTTTCGGCGTCTCGCAGCATCGAATCGCCAGTCACATGGCTCCCCTCTCATATTCGTTGTCTGCCGCTTCACTTTTTTTCATTTTGGCAGCCGCTTCTCGTGGCGATCTGTCAGGCTTGGTCAGCATAGACCTTTGCAAAAAGAGCTCTCTGGCCGCCGCCATTTTGCGAATCGAGCGACCCCTACCGGCCAGAAATTTCGGCCACCCGCCTGAGCTGTGGAAACCCGGTCAGCGTGACTTCCCACCAGCATTGAGCATTCGGAGTTCGCCGACTTTTCTTGGAAGTTTTTGCTTTAATTGGCTGTTTAGGATGTTTACCCTTTGTGTGTTATCTTCCACTGTGAGAACTAGGGAATACCAGGGCTCGTAGCCTGCTCAACCTCCGCAGAACACGAACGAAGAGATCGAACGTCAAGCAGCCCGCGACGCGGACAGTTCAACGTTTCTTAGGAGTCTTAAAGTCCTATACGGTCCGGTTAACTCGCCACGTCTCACCTAATTAGACCCATATGTGAGGTTTCACATAGCGTCATCAACAAGGAGCCACCATGACCAAAAAAATTCGCCGTTTTATGCACGTACCGACAGGTTTAAATACATTTTGCTCCCTGGATCAATCAAACGTTGGAATCTGCTACCCGGCAACATCTCTTCGTTACCTCCAGACGAGTGTCTGTGTGCGGTTGACAGTGGTTGACCTAATTTTACGACGTTTTGTTTTTTCTGTTTTATCTAATATTAAATGTCATTCCCTATTACTCCTGAAATAGCACCGACGGGGCTGCAGTTCCTCGATTCAGTCGTTCCGCCATTTCACCTTCTAATGATCGGGGCGTGCCTTTCGGAAGGGGTCTATTGCGATGACTCGTGGTTGCAGACTGTCTTTTTTGCGATGGTGCTGTGACCCCGGCTGAATGCTGCAATCACGCCGGCATTCGAATCGCAACCTCGACGCGAATCCGCTTGTTTTCATCATCGAACGAGCTTGAAACTGCACTGAACAAAAAGCCCCGAAAAGACCTTCCTGCAAGTAGCAACATTCTTTGATGCGCCGACTGCGTGACGGTACAGGTTTTAGGAAGCCGGAAGCGAATGGGCGGCGCACAGCAGAGGTTTGAACTGAATGACGCCATTTTGTTCCAGCGGAATTGAATTTGTCATTTGGGTTTGCTGTCGTGACTTGTAAAAGAAGTATCCGACCAGATAATAACCGCTTCGCGATTGCGGTTAAACCGTCTGTGTAAATGAGGCCCAAGTATGACACGCAGCCCACACTGCACGACTCAACAAAGCCAATCAAAGCAGCGCCCAAAATTGCACTGTCACGTCCCTATTGCGTCTCCGCTGTCACCGGCTACAAACCAATCACTCGCAGCGTAGGCTGAATGACTCTGCGCTTTTAACGCCGAATGTGTTTTATGGGTCGTTCTCTACGATGCAACTGTCAGGAGAGACCGTCACGAACGAGCGACACGGCGGAAGCTCTACGCAATTATTTTTTTTTTTAATGCAAACCAAGTTTTCTCTTTTTTTTTTTTTTTTGATAAATTCACCGGGGAAAGATAAAGAAAAACTCAAAAAACTACTGTAAAAAAAAAAGAAAAAGATAATAAAAATAGTGCCTTTCTGGGGTTTGTGCAGGGCACAGTATGCGCCCCTCGTCTTTGTCAGCACGATAAATCTAGCGTAATTTTTCATCCGCGTGATTGGTTTGGCCGCTGGCAGCAAACGCGCAAAAGCGAACAGCGCCATGACGCCGCACTTTTGGAGCTGCTTGATTATGTAGCACTTAGATTAAAACAAAGTATAGCAAAAAAAAAAAAAAAAACTCATTTTAAATGCATGTTGACCCTATATTTCACCCAAACAATCCGGCCGTACGTTTTGTTATCAACGTTGTTACTGTCGCGCTTCATACCTTTGTGGCAATCGTGGTCGGGTTATCGAATCCGTAGAAGTTCGACCTGACGACGCTGTATAAAGCCATTGCCGTGGGGTCGAGCACTGGCGATGTGTTGCATATATCCTAGAAAGATAAAAGCTCAGCAGTTAGTACTAACGCGGAACGATAGCTTAGCTCGAGCATGGAGAGCTCCGTGCAAACTAATTGATAATCGTCCTACTTCTCAGAGCGATCGGCATTCCACTCTGCACGTGCATGAATTGTATTTTTGTTTTGTAGCGTTAGCTACATTGGCCGAGGTTGAGCAGTTTCGCGTGTCTCCCAAAGAGCCGTGCTGCGCATGCGCGAGGAGCAGTGACGTCACACGGCGCACAACAGGCGCGCCTAAGCCGCCGCCGACGCGCGCTTTTTCCGCCGTCGCAAAGCGCTCCTCGCCGGTCTGCGCCTTCCAGAGGAGTGACGTCATAGCCGCGGCAGACGCACTGGCGCCACCACGTGTCCAGCTGTGCGCCTCCCTTACGCAGTAGCCATGTCTAACGCTGCACCGGAGCCGTTTGATAGCACCTCTAATTTTGTGTGCTTAAGCTCACGCTAAGTATATCCTAGCATAGCCGAGCTAAGCCACCGCGAATTTTGCATTATTTTTTTGGGAAGGCACAACATTAAAGAAAGAGTACTAGAATATGTAAAGTAAGTTTTCTCGGAATAATTTCTACAGTTACAGAGTTCGTTAGGTGCAGACAGACGCTTCTCTACCGAAAAATCCGGTATAACTTTTCGCTATCCGGAATATGGAACCGGAAATCTATCTGGATTCTATCTGGACTCTGTCTGGAATTAGGCTTTCAAATTCAGAGATTATTCCTTTGTCTGCAATCTGGATTGCGGGTTTCCTGTTACAAATTTCCGGTTCCATAATCCGGATAGTGAAAAGTTATACCGCATTTTTCGGTAGGGAATTAGTATACAAACTACTAAACATAATACAATTTTCTTTTCTTTAGATATTTGTCCTAGCTAGCAGGACCATACCAGCCAGTGATTTGTAAAGGCTCTTACCAACGATTGCGTATGAGAGCGTTTGAGTGCGCTTGACTGCGTTGCGGCTGCGAGAAACCGGAACCTCTCTGCTAGATATGTCGCGTGCCAAGCTACTCCTTGAGTTGGATTCCACGCTTCATGCGAAGCACAGATGTGCTGCCGGTGACTCGCTTCCGTTCCTTGACGCTTCCCAGTCAAACGAACTCAAGCGCAAATGTTCGTTTGGGCCTTAAGACGTATTTAAAATAGTTTGTTCATGGGAGGCAAGCTGCTACAGATAAAGCAGTAGCTCACTTTTTGTACGGCCACAGAGGAAAGATTCTTTACTGGGTCCCCTGGTTTTTCCAACAGTGCACCGTCCGACCCTTTGAAAACACTCGCAGTGAGCATGGCGCAAAACTTGAACTTGCTCACATCCCCGCTAAGACTTGCTAAGGACTTGTCCTGAAAGTGAAAGTACGTGGCGTCAAAGCAAGAGAGCACAGAAAAGAGACGGGGGGAGGGATGGGGGCTGGTCGCCCCCCTTCCCTCTACACGCAAACGCACCGAACGGAGTCAACAACTATAGTTTTCGCGCTGAACTGGATCAGCTGGCGCAGACACATGCATAAGAACGCAAGGAATGCAGTCATCCAACGCTTCTCAAAAAGGTTGTTTGGGCCCACGTGTTCCTGATATTGCTCGCGCACGGACTTGGGATGAAACGAAGGATAGTAACGATCGCGAGAAAGGGTATAAGTGCTTGAATCTAATTCATGCCGAAAACGCCTCAATAAAAACAAAACAAAAACATATACGTTTTACTTTTGGGTCAAAAATAAACACTTCAAACGGAAACGTTTAGCGGTACGCAATACCTTCCAGTTGCATTGCGAACTCTCAATTGACGGCGCAGTTTAATGGATCAGAAATGAAATGTTTCCTGTACCAGATCATCTTTCGGGTTGGGAAGCGTGGCTACTTTTGGAGTTATATTTTCGGCCTCGAGCGGGGTAACGTGCATTACGACAAAGGTTGCATTCTGTATTCTGAAATAAAAAAGAGAAAATTATAAACTTTGTTGCAGGTCAGACGGTTCGCTCGCTTACCAGCGCAGCGTGGGATGCCGCTGCACCTCGGCAATTCTAACGCGTGTATATGTACAGCAATGAGGCTGGAAGGTGGCTCATATGTTCATAAATACGACCTTCTCAATTCAAAAGTCGTCGAAAGCACGCGAGCAAAATTATAGCCGTTAAAGGTTAGACTCTTTCGCATTTTTATTTTTGATTTGCGGACGAAATGATGCCAAATCGATCGATTGATCGGAGTTTTACGGCGCGAGAGCTACAAGGACCGAAATGTACCAAGTAGCTCCACTATTGCTAGAAACGTAAGGAGAGACAGATGCATGACATAGCTGTTGGTGTAGTAAGGCCATGAGAATTACCGCGAGTTTCGCACATACATAAAATGCGAGATTACTACGAGCGTGTATGGTGAAAGAGCAGCCTGACCATACTGTTCCAAGGAGTGATTCAAGTTGTCTATAATAGAAGGAACAGACTTAGTAAAAAAAAAAAGAGTATAAGAATGGCAGTGCCTCTCTCGCTTTCGCTCGTTGCTTTTCGTGGTGCTTTGACAGTGCCTGCACACGCGAGGCCCATGAGACGCCAAAGCGTTATCTAACTGGAACTCGTCCCTGCCGTTCTCATCCTGGCCGTGACTATACGGAGAGAAACAAAGGGAGAGGAGGAGAAGAGAGCGCGAAGGAACATCTGAGCGCCGAGCTCAGCGACGAACGGCTAGTGGGTAGGTGCGAAGGCTGGCTGCCTTAGAATCTATACTCACGTTTCGAACGCGTTCGAACGCTGAACGCTGGCGTCCGGCGTTCGAACGCGAGACACTGCGCAAACTGCCGGCGTAGGCTAAAGGCATTTAAGACTTCTTACGATTATGCAAGCGAAAGCATTCCTACACGCAGCGCATTCCTACAAGCAGCGCACCACATCTTCCTCTTTCACAAGTCGCCCCGGCGGTGACATCCCGCTCCACCACCTCGCAGGCTCGGCGAACCCCGCCGGCTCCACGCCTTCCGCGACGATGAATCTGCGTTGCTGTGCTCTTCTTTGTGTTTTATTTCTGAGCCGGGTCCGCTTAGACCTTGAGCGCCCCGATGGCTTCCGTCACGAAGAATGTGCGTTGCGGTGCTTTGGGTCAATGGGAATTTAACTGCCGTTTCGCTGCTCCAGATGGTTACAGACACGCTGGCTTCGCTCCGTGGGACAGTTAATGCTTTCGCCTTAAAGAAACAAAAAAATATCTTTCTGTTCTTTGCGTGTTTTTTTTTTAATCGTAATGAAACATTTATTGCCTTATATACGAACGGAAAAACTCGAGAGACCGGGAAAGAAAATATTGTCAACGTTTATGCGAATGCTCTTCTATATACAACCACCCAGCGCTTATCGTGCACTTGAGCGAAAAATGCCGACTCACTGGGGCAGTGGACCAGACTTGGACGTAATTCAACTACTCTACTCAAACTACTGTAGTTTAACTACTTTATCGAGTAACTTGGTAACTTTCAATTACAACTTTATTTGGGTAATTAGTAGTTTAATTTAACTACGTTTTTCAGGTAACTTCTACTCAAATTACTAACTACTTTCGAAATCTAATCCTATTATTTTTTATTTTTTTCATCCCAAAAGTTTGAGCGCAGAAATAAATAAGACGCTGGCAGATGAAGTGCTATTCACGAACAAGGGGCACCCTCACATTCCGTTCCCACGTACTTATACTCGGCAGCCGTAGAAACTGCATCACAGGCGTCCTTGGGCCAATGTGGCGACGAGCAGCCAAAACATATCACCGGCGCGCACGAATGCAGAGATGCTTAACAAGCCTTGGTTGGGTATTGACCTAATCCGGTAATGCAAGCAGGCGCCGCGCCTCCAGCTGCAACCGTGAAAGACGGGGTCACTCCAAAGGTTGTTGTTGTTTTCATGTTGCGTGTTTTTAGTGAGTTCTGACTCAAGTGGTAGGTTTCATGGTAGGCGCCACTGGAATGACCCCGCAGCTGGGCGCCTGTTCCCATGGTCGCCTCGTCGTCAGCGCACACTCCCTTGCAAAGTCGGGCTCCCCCGCGCACAAGCGCAGACACGGATAATCCGTTCATGGGAACACGTTCCCTCTTCCAGCTGCAACTGTACGAGCGCCGATGCTTTTTCACGTAATCCTTCGCGTCCTTCCGACCTCCCACGCCAGGGAGACCTCCTCTTTGCTGAAAACGTTTTACTTGTCAGGCGTGTTAGGCGCGTCAGGATACCGTTGTCGCCGGGGAGGATTTCGAGTCACTTTTGGGAGATCATTTTGTTGGACCCAACGTCAACGGCGAAATGCATTTTTTTTTTTCAGTGGCGCAGCTATAACACTGCAATGAGACGCGCGATCGTCCGGGTGATGTGATCGTCATGGCGCGAGACTTGATCCCTTGACGGTCAGGTGCACTGGCTCGGTGAAATCTCCGAACGTCGTGAGAATAAAGAGGGGCCAGTCATGACAATCTCAACTTGCCGAAGAAAAAAGGAAAAAAGGAGGAGAGTTTGTTATAAAGGACCCTCTAGCCGAGGCAAGCCTCACATGTTTCGTGATGGACACCAAAGATGCCGACACTCGCTTACCCGACCCTGCACAGCCTGCTTCTGAAATTGAACGCTGCCTTAGCATCCAGCCACGGTGGAACGTCTGTTTAGCTTGACTGAGGACGTCATTAACAGGAAAAGGGGAAACTTTCCGATAACAACTTTGAAAGACGATTGCTTCTGCGAGCTAATGAACTATTTTGGAAGTCATAAAATGACTGCATTTATTTCAGGCTCGCAGGGTTTTTCACTGATCAAAACTGCTGTTCATTTTGCTGCCACAAAAATATAAAAAGTAACTTTGAAAGTAACTTCAAAGTAACTCGCTACTCTTTACAGTAGTTAGTAGTTTACTCAATTACTATTACAAATCCGTAATTTCTACTCTACTCAAACTACTTTTGGTGGTGATACTCAGTAACTTAACTTAACTACCTTTTTTGAGTAACTTGTACATGTCTGCTGTGGACGCGTCCGCGGACATCTGATATTTTGCCCAAGAGAGATTCTGCGCGTGTCGAGAATGTGTGCTCACAGCCCAGAAGAAAATGATGGCAGCTTTGAGAGCACAATTCCTGGAATGCTCTTTCCACTTAGCTTCACACTTAGTGCGACCGCAATATTAGGCTACGATCCAAGAAAGACCATTCAAGCGGCGCCAAAAAAAAAAAAAAAAAAGTTATATATCCCGGTGGCGCTATCATTGCGGCTATCAACGGCTGAACCTTCCGCGCACAGTGAATGCGCCTTGATTGTGTGCCTTTTTTTCTGGGCGTGCTTGGCTTAGCTGCGTCAGCATTGAACTTGATATGGTCCGACGCAGTGAAATGAAAGCATGTTGGACAAATTTCGTCAATATCCTCGTTAACACGCCCTCTCAACTTTCGTTCAGGCAACGATAGTTAGCTGTGGCCGTTGGCCGGAATTACAAATGGGCGCCAAGTGTCTTTGAGCTTTCAACGGATGTTGAGCTCAACTGAAGTCACCAAGGGGGATCGGTGGCCGAGTGGTCTAGCGCACACCAGCTCGGAGCACGTGGAGCGAAACCTCGCGCTGCAGAACCCAGGGATCCTGGGTTCGAGCCCCACCCCTGCCCGTTTCGATCTGGATGAGCATCGTACCGGCGTGCGGTCGTGTATCACTACTGCGTGGTGTACGTTAAAGACCCCAGGCTAGCGGCTGTACCGCACTGGCTAAATTTCTCATCTACAGCTGGGAGACTCGTCGCCCCTGTGAGGCAGACCAAGTTCTAGGCTGTATAAACACATACACAACCCAATTTTTTTTTGAAGTCACCAACTGACAATCTGGCGGGGTCCGATGCGTCGTGAAACGACGGCCGACGCTAGCGACGCACTTTCTGTTTCGGGACGCGGGAAGATGCATCCAGGCACAATCGTGGCGGCGAATATTGTAGGAGGGGCGAGCTTATGGGTCGGAGCTGCATTTATCACAATCATACCGCGGAACCCGTGGCATTGGAATGGAGTATAGACTCATTTTCAGGGCAACCGACAGCAAACAAGATGGCATATCTTCCTGTTGCCATATTCATTTCCGGTTTGTGCGTGTTGTGTGTGGTTTCCTGTAGGGCTCGCGCGATCTGAAGCGTGTATTATTGGAATTTTCCTCCAGATAATAAAAACTCTGTTACTGGCAAAAAAAATCACGTGTCTACAGGGTCAATTCTCATTGACTCGCTCGACTCAGCGAATCCAAGGATATTCCCGAAGGTTGGCCGTTGGTACAAGTAAATTACCTGGCCCCAGACGGCATAGCTCTTTAACACGTCATGCAGAGTTTTATAGTTTAACGTCATGGTACGACCGCCAGTTA